AAGGGTGACTAAGGGTCCTCTTGGCTACTTTCTCTTGACGTCTGCTACTTCTTCTACACTCGAGGCTGATATATCGCTTTGGCCACTAGTTTCTTCTTCCTTGTTTCTTCTTCTTTATTTAGTTTCTCTTCTTGTTCATGTTCTTGCTTTTCTTCTGCCTCTTTAGTTCTTATTCTCCTTGTTCTTCTTCATTTAGTTTTTCTTGTTCTTGTTATTGTTGTTCTTCCGATATAACAACTACTGACAAAAACAAATAAACTCAGCCGCTCAAGATTATTATTAAATAGAAGCTGTTTTATGAGGGACTTGAGTTAATGTCTTGTTTTATGAGGGACTTGAGTTAATGTCTTGTTATGTGAGGGACTTGAGTTAATGTCTTGTTTTATGAGGGACTTGAGTTAATGTCTTGTTATGTGAGGGACTTGAGTTAATATCTTGTTTTATGAGGGACTTGAGTTAATGTCTTATTATGTGAGGGACTTGAGTTAATGTCTTGTTTTATGAGGGACTTGAGTTAATGTCTTGTTATGTGAGGGACTTGAGTTAATGTCATGTTTTATGAGGGACTTGAGTTAATGTCTTGTTATGTGAGGGACTTGAGTTAATGTCTTGTTTTATGAGGGACTTGAGTTAATGTCTTGTTTTATGAGGGACTTGGAGTTAATGTCTTGTTTTATGAGGGACTTGAGTTAATGTCTTGTTTTATGAGGGACTTGAGTTAATGTCTTGTTATGTGAGGGACTTGAGTTAATATCTTGTTTTATGAGGGACTTGAGTTAATGTCTTGTTTTGTGAGGGACTTGAGTTAATGTCTTGTTTTATGAGGGACTTGAGTTAATGTCTTGTTATGTGAGGGACTTGAGTTAATGTCTTGTTTTATGAGGGACTTGAGTTAATGTCTTGTTTTATGAGGGACTTGAGTTAATGTCTTGTTATGTGAGGGACTTGAGTTAATATCTTGTTTTATGAGGGACTTGAGTTGGCTTGTTATGTGAGGGACTTGAGTTAATGTCTTGTTATGTGAGGACTTAGTTAATATCTTGTTTGAGGGACTTGAGTTAATGTCTTGTTATGTGAGGGACTTGAGTTAATGTCTTGTTTTATGGGGACTTGAATTAATGTCTTGTTTTATGAGGGACTTGAGTTAATGTCTTGTTATGAGGGACTTGAGTTAATGTCTTGTTTTATGAGACTTGAGAGTTAATGTCTTGTTTTATGGGACTTGAATTAATGTCTTGTTTATGGGGACAGATTAATGTCTTGTTATGAGGGACTTGAGGACTTGGGTTAATGTCTTGTTATGAGGGACTTGAGTTAATGTCTTGTTACTTGTTTTGGGGACTTGAGTTAATGTCTTGTTTTATGAGGGACTTGAGTTAATGTCTTGAGTTAATGTCTTGTTTATGAGGGACTTGAGTTCATGTCTTGTTATGTGAGGGACTTGAGTTAATGTCTTGTTTATGAGGGACTTGAGTTAATGTCTTGTTTTATGAGGGACTTGAGTTAATGTCTTGTTATGTGAGGGACTTGAGTTAATGTCTTGTTTTATGAGGGACTTGAGTTAATGTCTTGTTATGTGAGGGACTTGAGTTAATATCTTGTTTTATGAGGGACTTGAGTTAATGTCTTATTATGTGAGGGACTTGAGTTAATGTCTTGTTTTATGAGGGACTTGAGTTAATGTCTTGTTATGTGAGGGACTTGAGTTAATGTCATGTTTTATGAGGGACTTGAGTTAATGTCTTGTTATGTGAGGGACTTGACAGGTTGATGATGACGTCTGGGGCTAAGTGGTACTCCGTGGGTTACTAAGACTCTTTGTACTCTGTTGTAAGGATGGACTGTGGTAGTACTCTGTGGGTTAATAAAACACTTTATACTCAGGACATTTAGCTGAGTACAATTAGTATTTTAAAATTTACTCAAGACTACAAGAGCTACTAAGAACCCATTTTCAGTAGATTACATTAAAAATAAATCTAAAAAAAAAAATTCAAAACAGTATCTCAAAGTTTCAGTTTTCGTTTTCACTCGTGGTAATGTTTCAGTGGTATTAGGTTCACTCCAGAGCGTTCTGGTTATGCGGTGTTCACTCGAGGGCGTTGGAGTTCTCACACCAAGCATACCTCAGTGGAGAGTTCATCAAGCATTAATTTCTTTTTCACTTTTACCTCTGACCAAAAAACTTTCCATTTGTCAGTATATTGTCGTTTTTGGGCTGTGTGTATTGTGGGGGGGGTGCGTGTGCGTGTATATGTGTGAGGGATGGGGTGCGTGTGTGAGTGTATGTGCGTGGGTGAAAGCTCGTGTAGGTTGGTGGTCGATAGTAGGTAGACAGACAGATAGATATTAAAATGACAGATTAATGACAGGTGCGTGAGAAGTAGCAGAAATAATGGCGGCGATGAAGTAACAGGAGGAGGAGGAGGAGCAGTAGTAGGGAGGAGAAGGAGGAGGAGGAGGAGGAGGAGAGGGAGGAGGAGAATGAGGAAGAAGAAGATTAAAAGAGAAAGGGTAAGAGAAGAAAACAGGAAAAATAAGAAAACAAGGAAGAAAGAAGGCGCTGTAGGGGAATAGAAAGCGGCGGACAGGAATAACAACACTGTTAGGAGAGTCACGCTCCCTGAGGCCTCTAGGTGCTTCATGCTCACCTGGTTGTCAGCTCTCCCCTGCTTATTGCTTCCTCCGCTTCTTCTTCCTCGTTTCCTTTCTTATTTCTCCTATCCTGCTCCTCATCTTTCTGTCTTCCTTTTCCTTTCTTACTCCTTCTCTTCTCCTACCCCTCCCCTTCTCCTCTTACTCCTCCTGCGATACTATATTTCAACGCCTCTTCCTCTCACACCACGAGAGAGAGAGAGAGAGAGAGAGAGAGAGAGAGAGAACTGAGTGATCATCATAATTCAGAACATTAACCGTATATATTGTACACTTTTCGTCACCGCCAAGTGTTCAGTCACGTACAGTAAGTGGAGAACTGTTTGACGTAGTTGTAACTTGGTCAAACAATCGTGGTATGTGACTTTGAGATGCAACATAATCATAGAAGGAATCAGGAAGTTATATCTCTATTATTATTAGCTGTTGATGACTAGTATGTACAGTAACTTACATGGATATTATGAATTTAAAGATATTTGATGATCAAGTAGAGTAATATATAATATCAACATGTTAAAAAATCTCATGAACTCCCTATAAAGTTTACAGATTCAGATGATAGTCACTGCTTGTTGAACTTGCCAGCCCGCCCTCCCGCCCCGAGTGTGGCTTTCACCGCCCTATGCACGCCGCCTAGTCATGCAAATAAACATCAGTTGTACACGGTCATGCCCTACAGACTTACAGTAGTTAGTTCCGGGTATTAAGGTCGTGACTAATCCCCCTCACACCCCTCCCTACCCCAGTACCTCCTCCTCACCCCCTCGATGTGCCCCAGTTTGTTAATTTTCAACCAACAACTGGATTCGAAGACATTTTTTGTGTATTAAAGAGTCACATACAGGGGTTGTGTGTGTGTGTGTGTGTGTGTGTCCTCATTATCAGTTTACGGGTTAAAATTGACATAGCATTTTTTACCGTATAAGAGCAATATAGACGTCCTCTTCTTTACACACACACACACACACACACACACAGATGACCTCTTATAACCCACATAAACAAAGTAATCAAGCAATATGGCGTCGATATAACACTGAGACTCCACCGTAGTTTTATTCAAGGGGTAAATTTAAACCGGGTATTTAATCCTAGGGCGGTGTTTTATATAACCTTCAACAACTTAAATAATATCCTGGATTAAAAAGACGATATTTCTTTGAACAGATTGGCCATTGGATACTCACCTGTTGTGGCGTTGATGAACTGCCAGTGACATCAACAAGGCTCTAGGTGACTGGTATTGACATCAACGGGGTTCTAGGTGACTGGAAGTGTCATCAACAAGGCTCTAGGTAACTGCCAGTGATTTCAACGCAACACTAAGTCATCAACGCCGTGGTTTCGGTTACCAGGAAGTCGTCAATTCAACGCAGCGGTAAGTTCTTCCCATCATCGTAGTTGCTTCAAATTGCTTCCCCAAACCACGCACAATGTGAATAAATGCTCACATATACCGTAGTAATCTTCCTCCCTCCCTCTGGCAGTGACACCAACGAGTGAGTGAGTGAGTAATAATCATCATGAGTGTCTTTACTGTACCAGCCCGACAATGACCGCGCAGAAAAAAAAGTTCAGTTATCTGGCAGTGAAATTCAACGCTTAGTCCATACCTGACCCTATGTGTGTGTGTGTGTGTGTGTGTGTGTGTGTGTGTGTGTGTGTGTGTGTGTGTTTTCCTTACGCATTAACACAGTTTTGAAGATAAAGAGCTAGAATTTTGGTAGGGAGGTGCGGGTGGCGAAAGGAATGGTTATGTACTATTTCCTGTTAGTGAAACAGCTTAAATACGGTACAAGAATTTATGTTATTTAGTGATTGGTTGCTTTGTTAAGATAAGATTTTCTGGGGTTATGAATCGTGGTCTTTGAGATAAGAGATTGCAATGGTGGTTAGTAGGATGTAGTATTAACACACACACACACACACGCACACACACACACACACAGTTTCCATCCAGCGAACTTCAGTATTATTACTAAGAATAAAAATCTCCTCTGATGACCCTCTCTTACTGGTTCACGAGTCGCCATGGTCTAATTTAACCTAACACTAACGCAATATAATATAACTTAACGTAATCTAATGCTAATCTAGCTTAGCCCAACACTAACCTAACCTGACCTAACGCAATCTAATGTCACCTAACCTAACCCGACCAAACCTAATACAACATAGAATATTCTAACGTAACGTAACCCAACATCCAACACCCCAGGTAGCGTTAGGGTGGTTAATCAACAGGTGAGATAAGCTCGGTGGGAAGAATCTTCAGGTAGACTCTTTAAAAATTTCTTCTCTTATAAGTTAAAAACAAACACTGAACACATCTTGACACTTACCATGATGATGAAGACAGGTGACGGAACGTGAACACAATATACGAACACTGATGATCACGAGTGACTGTGTGTGTGTGTGTTCGGTGCGCAAGTTACTATTTGACTGAGGTCCTGCCAGCCGACTTTCAGAAAGTAAACCAGTGGCTCATCTCTGCCTCTGCGCATGCGTCGTCGTCTCACACACTTACGCGTGTTTGTGTGTGTAATTTGTTCAGCTGCTTCCGGGAAATTTACTCCCTCCCACTCATAGAAAATGGTAAGGAAAAGGGACTCCATTATACAACACGAGGCAGACTCACCCTAGGAGCCTCACATAGATATTTGCACCAGTAGAAGTCCCGTTAGAGCCGATCTTTTTTTTTTTGCTGAGGGTGCCGCAGGAGGAGCAGGGTGAGGCGTTCAGGTGGTCATCTTGCGGTTTCCCCAGGACAAGTTACGATACTTTAAAGTTTCACCCAAGACGGTGAAACTTCTTCAGGTAGAGCATTGAAACTTTTAACCAGAACTTTCATCTAAGTTGTTGGGAATTCAGCTGAAATAAAGCATAACTGGAAAAATAGAAACGACTGTTATCTTGAGCTCTCCATCAACAAAACTTCAATATTGTGTAATAAACTGAGATAGATAGATGGATGAATGGATAGGTGGAAAGATGGATGGATGGATAGATAGATAGATAGATGGATAGATAGATAGATAGATGGATAGATGAATAGATAGATAGATAGGAGAGAAAGAGGGAGTGTCACATACCTGGAGTTACCTGACATTATACAGTATTTCAGGATCATCAACACACCCTCATCATCTTCCTTCGTGTTTGGCGTTACTTGAGTTTTTTCCGTGACACTTTGAAAGCTCTAACTGGCCTCCTTGTGATTGATGTGTCATTCCTGTGTGATTGATGTGTGCTTGACGTGCCTCACGGTAGCCACTCAGTTGCTACTTTGCTCTGACTGCCACTGCTTGTGATAAAGTTGCCAGATGGAAGAAGTGATCGAGCTTGTGGTAATTTCTTTCATTGATGTAATAAATTCTTACTTACAATCACTGGCGTTGTTTGAATTCTTGAAACTATATAAATTCTCAATAACAGTCACTGGCATTACCTACTTCCCCTTCCCTTCCCTCTCTTTCACATAACACACACACACACACACACACACAGACACATGTACGCTTTACTGGTGATGGGACTGTAGCATATTTTTACGACGGGAGATATTTCACGCCGATTTGCCCACCCAAAATATGTAGTGATATTTTTTTGTCATTCGTCACATGTATAGTAGTCAACCCCACCGACCACTTATGGTGACTGACCAATCATGTTTGTGTATCTTGTTTACGAGCTGGAACTAGAGTGACGACTTGGATTGATATCAATTGACTAATGTCTACTTGAGGGAACTAACATGACTGTGTTAAGTCGAGAGAGAGAGAGAGAGAGAGAGAGAGAGAGAGAGAGAGAGAGTTGTATGATAAGTTTCAAAATGCAAAATCAATCTCGATTTTCATTCCCTAACAAAACTGAAACTGTTGAAAAAAAAAATTAAGTCGAACCCAGGATTTATCAGTTACAGATGAAGCACCTGTAGCCACCGAGCCATCCATACCAGTACAGCAACAGAGATTAATATGTCGTAGTTAGGTGTTACAGAATACGTTCATGTCTCTGCACACCATTTAAGAGTGAATCCCTTAAAGTAACTAACATACTGTACTGTACATACCTCTGATCTTTCATTCCCTAACACACATACCAACCTCAAACTCACCATCTCTTAATTGGTAAACTATTCTATATTCTGAAAATGTAAAAAACATGATTGTAAGAATATAACGTTTATTTTCCTTATACACTCAGACCTCTGGGGACACCCTGTACAGTCCCAGAGAGAGTGATCGTCAGATGGTTGGTAGAGTTGAACGTGTGTCAGCGTAACAGACGTGTTCACATTCTGTAATATTTCAGTGTTAACTCCAAGAGAAATTTTGTGTCTATATTCTATTAATTTTTTTTTCAATCGTCTTAATTAATTCACGCATTGACGTCATTGTGAGAGAGAAAGTATATGTGTATAACTTAAATATATATACATATAGAAAGTCATCATTATAAGGTGAATATTGTACTAATTACTCTTTCTATATACTATCTTAAACAACACACACACACACACACACACACACACACACACACACACACACACACACACACACACACACACACACACACACACACACAGTACTTACCTCACATTCCAAATAATGAGTAATTACCACATTCGTTATTCACTAAAACTATCGTAATTGAGGGTATACACAGCAGTACATAACTCACGTACTACACGCAGGTTGACAACTTTCCACTGGTTTCTCTCATAGATAAAGAATCACCCAGGCCAGACTACCACTGTCCTTTTATTAACCTAACCTAACCTAACCTAACCTAACCTAACCTAACAAGACCTGTAGGCGTTAAAGACGAAAATAATACACCTTATCATTTATGTGATTTAATGTTATAATTTGAAAGTTATAAAAAGTTTCACATTATTTTATCTCTATAGCTAAAATATGAGACTAATTTACATATCATTTACACTTATAGTTCTTTAAAGGTGTAAATCTAAGGTGTATTGTGTAAATTACTCTACACTGCCTTACTACATGTATTGTGATCGTTGTAATGTGCGCGTAGGCTTTTCCTTAGTCACTCCCTTCACCTATTCTCTCTGTGTTCAACCAAATTGTTCCTCTCTCTCTCTCTCTCTCTCTCTCTCTCTCTCTCTCTCACTCACCTTTTACTATCAATTCCTTCTCACCTTTGTATCTTGTTATTCTTTGTCCTATCATCCTTGTTTATTGTTTATCTCAGCCATAACACAAGATCTAGTTTTGATTGATCAATTATCGCCATAGGTATTCAGTTTCTCCATTACCTCTCACCTCAGCTATAGTTTTTCCATTACCTCTCACCTCAGCTCTATTTTCTCCATTACCTTTCACCTCAGCTATATATTCTCCATTACCTCTCACCTCAGCTATAGTTTCTCCATTACCTCTCACCTCAGCTATAGTTTCTCCATTACCTCTCACCTCAGCTATAGTTTCTCCATTACCTCTCACCTCAGCTATAGTTTCTCCATTACCTCTCACCTCAGCTATAGTTTCTCCATTACCTCTCACCTCAGCTTTATCTTCTCTCACTAGAACTAAAAAACATAGCGTCAGTTCTCTTGCTTCTTGGCGTTTCTGAGGTGAGATCATCTTAATTGCGATTCAGCTTGGGTGTAAAATTCCTCAAAGAGTCATATCAACTCCAGCTGCTGAGAGAGATATTCCTGTACCGTTATTTAAAGTGCTTTTTATTTCCATCTGACCTACTCCATTCTTCTGCAGGTTTCTTAGATTTCTTCGCTGTGATTGTCTGTCTGTCTGTCTGTGTCTGTCTGTCTGTCTGTCTGTCTGTCTGTCTGTCTGTCTGTCTGTCTGTCTGTCTGTCTGTTTGTCTATCGTTCTGTTTGTCTGCCTGTCTGTCTGGGTTATAAGCGGCTCATTTCTACAAGCTAGTCAGGTTTATAATGTTTGGAAGAGTTTTTTTTTTACGGTTTTTAATAGCGTGTTTTAGGGTAGTGGATATATTGGTTAATTTCTATTTTTATAACTTTTGATAATTTATGTGACTTATGATTTAACACCTGGATTCTATATTCTCATAATTTTGTATACTTGTATATTTTTTTTATAAGCTATTAAACAAATTAGTATTACCGCGTTTGGTACCTCTTTCTGTGAGGTAAAATGTACTATCCTCCCACCCCTCCTCTTACCTCCCCACCCCTCCTCTTACCCCTCCTCCCCCTCCTCTTACCTCCCTCCCCTCCTCCTACCTCCCACCCCCTCCCTCCTCCTCCTACCTCCCTCCTCCTCCTACCTCCTGCCCCTCCTCCCGCCCTCTCCCTCCTCCCTCCTCCTGCCCCTCCTCTCCCTCTCCCTCCTCCTACCCCTCCTCCTCCTCCCCCCCTCCTCTCCCTCCCCCTCCTCCTACACATGTCATACCTGGAGAAACTATCATGCTAGTAATCAGACAGAGATCACTTGCCACCGATCATACCTCTCTGCCTGTATGTAAATCATGGATCAATTCGCCAATGACTAAGGATTTCCCATCTTATAACCCGCGACGGAGGGGGGTGACTCCGATGAAGGTGTTCGTGGTTGTTTTACTGTAGTAGGTTCCGTCAGCTGCTGTGGCCTCGTCAGTGTGCTAGACTGGTCTCTTTTTATTCCTGTAGATGTTAATAGTCGTTGTGTAAATTATAATATATATATATAAAATCCCCGTCTAGTTTTCGTTCATGTGATATTGTGTTTATTTGTATTCCCGTGCTTCAATAACTGAGGTAAATTCAATTATTTTTTAACCAATAGATAAATATGATTACACATTAAAAGAAATATCCCATTGTTTCTTAAGGTACTCAGCTATGAATGAGTACCCGAGTTACCTTACCCACCGAAACATCTCCCAGTGACATTAGTTGATCTTTTCACTGTGATCTTAAACCTAAATCACTGTGAAGTTAACTTGATTCCCTTGTAGTTAAAATATCACCAACATCATCGTATAATCTTCATTAATATTAGGTTATGATGTTATGAGACTGTTATTTGGCTTATCCACTGTGTTGAGTGTATAAAATTATATATAATTTTCTAGTGTTCTGTGTGGACGGGTTTGTTCAGGTGGTCAGCACTGGTTCGCATTCTGACGGTACCTTGTTATCTAGGTGAACATATTTTATATTTTTTCTTTTACTGTTTTGTTATTGGTTAGGTTAGGTTAGGTTTAGTGATTAGACAGTGAAGAAAGATGGAATGGTTGTAGAGGTGTGTGAGGTTGTGTTATGGTGAACCTAACCTAACCAAACAGTGTATTAGAACTTGAATAACAATAAGATCATATTTAGTCGTCTTATCCGACGGAATATTTAGTCAAGACGTCTTCATGATCTCACTCCCCTCACTCCCCCTTCTTGAGAGTTCACCGCCGCTCTGGGTCTGACGAATGAATCACCGAAGCTCCGAACGAATTATTTTGAAACACT